TTTGTTTAGTTATTATTTTTCTCTTTAATGTTTGTCGTTTTGTTCTAATGTATCCAACTGTTTGTGTATGAGGTGTGATTACAAGGTCGTATTTTTTGTTATTTATTTCACAATTGTGTAAAACGATTGTTTGTTTATTTCCTAGGTTTTTAAATGACATAAGGTTTAGGATGACGGATGCAAAAGGTTGTTAAATGATTTCTATTTGCTTAAACTGTTAGTCCTTACGATTTTTTTTGTTAGCCTAACCTGGGTCTATTTGTTCAGGGTTGGGGAGAAAAGTATATCGATTCCGAAGAATGATTTTATACTTTCTCGTGGCTAGTATAAGCTAAGGTGTTAACTTACTTAATCTTACTTAAGGGTAGTGATTGTGTTCAGGGTTGGAGAATAGTAAATCGATCCACAGGGTTCAGGTATAATTAGAACGCGAGTAGTTCGTTAGATACTATTTTAAACTTACTAAGTCTAAGATTTATCCTGGGTCTGGTAAGAGGGGGGATCAAGTGAAGGATGAATAACCGAAGTTCTTCACTGTTTATCCTAATTTGAATGATTAGTTTTGTTCAAAAATTTCTATTAGTCCTGAGTTTTTAGAAAGGGTTGGATAGTGAATCGACGTTTGAGGTCGTTAGACACTCTTTAAGTGGGTGGGGGAGAACAAAGTTGTTCTTTTTGATCCAAGGATAGGCCTTGATGATCAAGTTTTAAATTTAATTAAATAGAAAATGATTTAAGATCCAAGGATAAGCCTTGATGATCTGATTTTAAAATTAAGTGAATTTAAGTTTAAAATGTTTTAAATTTGTGTAAGGAATAGATTTAGTATTTTTATGATATTAGTGAGCTTATGATTGCTGTTATGTTTAGGCGATGAAGCTGGAACAACAGGATGATTTATAATTACTAACCATTTATTGTCATGCTACTAATTTTTATTTTGATTTTTCAATAAATATTTTTCAAACATGTTTTGTATATTACTGCAGAATTTAGGAAAACGATCTGAGATCTTTTTATCAATCGTTATTGTATATTAATAATTTTGTTTAGCGCCTGAAATGGTTTTGAAGATTGACTTCAAAATTTCATGTTTGCAAATGAAAATCTAAATTCATTGCTAGTAGTATTCTAAATACAAAAGTTTGTTCTGGTTTTTGCCGAACTATCATATAACTATATGGTAAGTTTCTGCTTTGTCGTATGTCGTCTCTGGTTCGAGGTCTTCTTCCAATTCCGGGTAGTTCTGTTATCGTTCGGAATTTTGGCTCTGATCTATTGAGTCGTAGAGACATTTCGATTAAATTATTGTCGTATAACATTTTGTAAATGTTTTGTCTAAATTCTAATCTATTATTGGTTAATGCTAAGCTATTAAGGTCTTTTTCGAGACTTATGGTCGCACCAGATGAGTTAGGTCCGATGGGTATAACTCATAGAGTAATTTCGGATAGGGTACACCGTCTGCTCGTCACGCTATCTTATTTTCGGCCGGATAGATTCGTGCAACTTCTTAGTCTAATACCGATCCTAATCTTACTCTTATACTATCTAGTCTCAGGTTGTTTAACTAGTCTCTGCTAGGCTCAATAGATCTAGGGTATACTGGTTTATTGCGGCTGCTGAAGTACTCGGGAGAGTTCAACTAATTTCTAAGTTAAATTCAAATCTCTCTGGTGCTGAAATTACAAGTAATTTCAGCACTTACAAATAAGTGGATTGTTAGTTAGATGGATCATGATTGGTTAATATTAAATACTTTACATTGGTAAAATATCTAATTTATCCAATCATAAAATGTAGTTTAGATCAGGTTCCAACTATGACTACAGTTCAAAAAATACATCTATTAAAAATTCCCCTTTTTGTCAATGGAGAGATTGTTAAGTAGATTAAATCAACAAGTTATCGACCAATTAGAATGCAGCAATTTAAAATTTTCGCTAGAGAGCGCTAGCCTGCTTTGAAGTTTCATGGCTGAAAATAAAGGGTTATCGTCAGGGGTTCCGCAAAATATGTGGCCATATAATAGGGTTTCCGCTCTACATAATGCCATAATCGTTCTTTTTTCCCTCCATTATTTCCATAATCGCTCAGGAAAAATAAACAATGGCCATTATGGGGTTTTATTCGTTCCATAATTTTGAATGAAAAATCAAAAATCATTCAATTTTAAAACTTTTTTGAAACGAGTTTTGCATCCCAAAGCTCTTTATTGACTTTTTGGAAAAGAGTAGCCTCAAGGTGACGTGGAGTCATGCTTTTTCGAAGCGATCCAAGTGTGATTTTTATTTTGGCGCATTCGGTCCTTCGCGTATGAGGGATTCCACCGCTCACTATTTGTTTTACATAATGGGGTTACGTCATCCCTAAATTATGACCATAATCGAAGGCAGTTCCATACATAATGGTCATACTTTTTGCCCTTTCCCTCCATTATTTATGGCCATAATGGGCCCCTACCATTATTTTTGCGGAAGCCCTGGTTATCGTTAATTAAAATGTCTAGATAATCAATTTTCGTGGCAAGTGTGAAGATCTTTTTATGGATTTAAAGCCTTTATAATCGATTGTTTTCGAAACAATGCAAATCTATTATATCCGATTATAATCAATTATCATATTGTTATCGCAATCGTTCAACCCCCCTCCCTTTCTAGCCTGTCACAGAAAAAATTATTATTGCCCCCTCCAATTTACCTCCTCCCGCGCTCTCCTTCCTTTCCCACAACCCCAGGTTGAACATGGAGATGGCGAGGGTAAATGTGGAAGGAGAGTAATTGTAGTGGAATGGGTTTTAGCGGAAAAAAAACATTACATATTTAAACAAGTATAGCCGGTTACTGTGCAAGTAGCGCAAAAGGTTTCGACCATAGTCTTAAAAAATACAACATATATTTTTTTCAAATTTGTGTCGTTTTTTCTGCGAGGTGTGAACTTAGGCATATTCGACAGTCATAATGCTATATTGGAAATATATTGGAAATCAGTTTTTATAGAAAATTGACTTAAAAAAAAAACAAACAAAAAATGGTACAAACAACTGAAAAAAAAGTTTCAAAAAAATTTTGAATTTTTTGCATGAATAGCCTGAACTTTTAAAACGTTTGATTCCCAAAATGGCAATAAATACTCCAAAAACTAATTTACTGTGTAATTGTTTTTCACGGCCTAAGTTAAGCGTAAATAAGCAATTGTAAGCCTGCATTCTCAACTTATTAGCTCAAAATTAGACCAAAAATCAAAGTGTTCAAAAGTAGTTCGAATCACGACTGATAGGGTTTTCGTATGATATATCGCTCCACTAGTTCCGATGATTATTTGTGATATTTGATTTTTTGTGAAAAACAAAAAAGGTGAAAAAAATACATCGGAATATAAAATTTTTCCCCATTTTCAATGGTCGAAACAAAAACATGATTTGGTTTTTCTAAATGTGGAAATGTTCTTTTTTCAATTTTAGAGATACATAATCTAATAAACAAATACTATCGAGTATTATTCATAAAATTCCAGTTTAAGAGTGCTAATTGTTCCAACCACTTGAAAAAATAAGGAGGAACTTAGATTTCAGGTGTGTTTCAGTTTACAAAAGCTTATCTTATTGGCTTTAAAGCTTACAGTAGCCTACTTTGAATTGTAACAACTTAATTTGATTCGATTTATGTTAATTTTGATGAGTATTTTAGCCCCTTTTTGGAATAAAAGCTGCAAAAAAATGAATTTTTTTTGTCTTTTTTCAGAAAAAACGTTTTTGCTTAATTTACTATATGTTTCTGTCGGTTTTTCAGATCTCTCGTTTTTTGTTCAGTTTCCTATATTTCTCCACGCCGAAAAAAACGACACCAATTTTAAAAAATGTTTTAATTTTCAAAGACCATGGTCGGAACAATTTGTGCTACTTGCACAGTAATCGGCCATCGTTCTTTTTTTTTTGATGTTGAAGATTTTTGTAGATACCGTAGATGCTGAGAGATTGTTATAAAAAACCGAAAAAAATTTTCTAACTAAATTTTCTGTTGCTCAAACTTATTTCCGTTTCTTTCTTTCGCAAAAGAAAAACAGCGCTGTCGAGGCCAGGTGAGTTTCGAACTTTTCAGTCATGACTTGATTCGCAAATTTTATTGTGTTCTTCTAATCACTGGATGATTAGAATGATAAAATAAACCTTTAACACATTTTAAATAATTCAAATAAGTCAAAGGATACTCATCCGTCATCATTGGCAAATTCATGAGTTCGTGTAATAAATTGATTTTTAAGAAGTGTCAGCCAAGGTCTGAGCGCCAACCACGTCATTTTTTCATCGCGTGTTAAACTATTTTCAGAACAATCTAGCCCTGGAACTTCTTTTGCTTCTTTTGCTACATTTGATTCCGGTCAAATTCGTCACTGGTTCAAAAAAAGTTTTTCATGGCTCAAAAAAAAATACAAATACATTAGACCGATCCGCAGTCTCAATTTAGCGCTACAACTTAAATTTTAATAATGAGCTGAACAAAATATAGTAGGAATCTCAGTATGAACGTTCTGGCCCTCACGTCAATTCCACCAGGCAAAAGAATTAGTTAGCCTGATTTCTTTGCTTTTTGTTTTAATTTTTTGACTCGAAAGTTTTTGTTGACAAGACTTTTCATAACTGATTAATGAATTTTGTAAGAACGCTGCGTTTTGCAGATCAAATTAAAAAATTGAAATTAAAGCTGGAATCTATTTTTCTGACGAGTTTGCAAATATCTTTTCTGTCTTTTCCATTTTGAATGTCGGTGTGCGAGTTTGAATGTGTGCGAATAGCAACACAGCATCAGCAAATGAAATTCACATTTTTTTTGTCTTTTTCAATACTTAAAAGCATGCTATCAACAAAATAAAAGAAGGGGAATGCTAAAGAACTTAAGTGTATGTTAGTATGTTACAATCGAAGTCGATGTCTGTGCTAATTTAGCCGTTTTTTTACTCAATTTCTGAACAAGAGATATCAACAAGTTATTTGATTTCAGGCATACAGCATCTAGAAGCAGAAGAAGCGACACTTTCCAACAGTTCGAACCCGCCGACGCCAATCCTTACTGTAGTTACTAGTATGTATTTATCTCAAAAATTGTCACTGCTCGTAAATAAGAAGAATATAGTTGCAATTATAGAAATAAATAGCACTGAAACAAAAAGATATAATAGTTGTTATCAATACGTAGCGGTAGTTTACTTATTTCGTAAAGTTTATTTCATTGTGATTGTGGAAGTTTTGGCCAGATTTGATTGGACAAACAGGTTTTTTTTTCACATATTTTAGACAGTGCCTTACCGGATATGGGGCTCTACATTAAATGTTTCCAGGAACTGTCGTGTGCGGTAACGACCCAAAAGTTTATCGGCTAACTCTTTTCTAATTCTGAGATGATTATTTCGGGTACTGACGGGAGTGTTCATTCGTTTTGGTACAAAGAAGACTGAATTTAGAATTCGAGACTAATGAATACCCAACTGGTGACCTTTTCATTCACAACCCAGAAAAAAAAATCAAAAACATGTCTCAGTATCTGAAAAGAATTCTAAGGGTAAATAAATGAAGTGAAGACCCATTTTGCAGACTGATTTTGGTTTCAGGAAAAAGTATTCAACTTTGATTATGCTCAAATTTTCTTCTAGCCATGTAAATTTTGGTTTCGTTTTAAGTTTTGGAACAAATAAAATATAGCAATTTTGGAAAAAATTAAATATAGGAAAGAACATGAGCTTTCTATTAAAATTACTGCACTCAAATGAAAAGGAAAAAGGCAACCAAAAATCACCATCAGAAAGTTTAAGCAATCAACAAAAGTATCACCCTTTACTAGGCCACCGGGTCGTATCTACTAGCGGTTGGAAAACTTATCAACTCAGTCCCCTTAAATCCTCGCCTTATCCTTTTAATGATGATAATTATTTTTCGTGCAGAAACTAGGAAAAGTTTTAGACAGTTTTTTTTCTCACAATCAAATATATTTTGATTTTATTTGATTGTGATTTAATTGATTCATTTTTTGAAGAACGCTAGTTCGAGTAAGCGTTGGAGTAACACAGATTATACCTATAAATTGGCTAGTTATATAAAAAGTTTTTAATTGATTTAAAATAAAACTCGTTTTAGAAGTTTCAATTAGCACTTTCCTGTCGAAAAATTCTTCAAAAATATTTTTATGTTCAGTGCAAAAATAAGGAAAAGTTTCCGAGTTTTTCTTGAAACCATATTCCAATTTTTTGTGATTTTTTTAAATTTATTTTTTAAAGAACACTAATTCAAAAACATTCTACGCGTTTGTACAGTTCTATCATCAAACCAGGCGCAAGAAACAAGAAACGGCATAACTTGAGGGAAAAAATTGTTTGTAGTTTTTTACTAATGTTGAAACCACCACAACCCAGAGAAAAACAGACTTTAAGAGAAAAACAGAAATATAATCAAAGAATAACATAATTATATGCTTAAGCTTACAATTTTTATGAGCAAAAATTAGCACACAAAAGATTAGAAAATGGACGTCACCCGCACCGGAGTTCCATGGATAATAATCGATGATATTGAATTTTCGTGGTCTGTCTCAATAAACTTTAATAATAATCGATTATAATCAATTAAAAATGGATTATGATGAAACGATTTTTTTAATCAATAAAATCCGAAAATAATCGATCATAATCGATTATTTTTGAAAGAAAATGAAACATAATTTCGAGGCAAAATAACCCATTAGAATCAATTATAATCGATTGTAATAGATTTTTTTGAAAAGTTAGTCATGAAATATACAACTTTTTTTTCGAAGTTATCGCATTTCCTGTTTAGTGCAGTTGCTACGTATTAGGTTTTTAAGCCTCATAAAATGTTGAATTTCACTTTTCAATTTTTATAATTTGGTCTTATATACCCCGTTTACCCCTTCCCTGATTACCCCTTCCCCCGTTTTCCTCCCTGCTACCTGTTTACACCCCCAGTTTTCCTCCCTGTTTACACCCCCCCCCCCGTTTTCCTCCCTGTTTACACTCCCCCCCCCCCCGTTTAACCCCACCCCCACCCACCTCCCTGCCAGTTTACCAGAACCGCCATTCGCATTCGACACCTTTATGGGGGGTTATTTATTGGTAGACTTTGGGGGAGGGGGTTTATGATTTACAACCCCACCCCCCTCTCAGTTTAGCCCCCACCGTTTGGCCCCCACCCCCACGGATTTTAAATGGGTTCAGCACCCCGCCCTCACCCCCATGGATTTTAAATGGATTATTGATTTTAAATGGATTATGATTCATTATAATGGATTTTAATGGATTGTGTTTTTACGAAAATAATTGATTAAAATGACAATATAATCGATTACGTGGTCTAAATTTGCCACAATAATGGATTATAATGACAACATTTTAGACAACATTTTTCCATTATAATCGATTATTATCCATGGAACTCCGGGGCGCGCATTCATTATAATCAATTAAATTGGATTATGCTTCTTTCGATAAACGTTTTTGAAAGTAATATGAAAATTTTCGATAAAAGTTAATTAAGAATGGTTTTTATTGTTTTGAAAAAAATTAAAATTTACAAACCTTTTTAAACAATTATATATATATTTGATTGTCTTCGAAGCTAAGAGAAAAAAACTATAAAATCCCATATGATCGATTATTATCCTCGAAACTTCAAAGTGATTCACCTATGACCAAAAGTAAAACTCTTACGTCAAGTGCGCGCGAGGAGTACTTATCACTAAACAAACTTCGGGTCTATCCCATTATAACCCATTCCAGTAAGTTATAGCCTCCAGTAACTTATAATTTAAGTCTAGTTTACCTAGGAGAGACTATTTTCAATGATTTTTACTCTTCCAGTTTAATTTTCTTGAGCTTACTAGCCAATTTTATTGATTTAACCTAACTAAGGAAACCAAATTTCAGGAAAAAGTTGAATAAAACAAGATTTCTAAAGGTCCATATAATAAATGGTCTGCTTAGAACATTATTTGCTAGTTATACAGCAAAGTGATTTCTCTTTATCATTTCCATTGTTTATATAACAGTCAAAAATTAATATATTATATATTATTATGATATATTAGCCTGCTCCTGAATTTATCAGTCCTACTTTCGTTTTGACCACGCCAAGCCCCTAAGGGCGAGAAATAATTACGGTATAGGATGGATTTTTGCAGACCAAGACATGTACTTTAACATGTTTGTTCGATTACAATTCATGGTCTTTTAAAATTAATGATCTTATGAGCATTGGATGTTGCGTAGGTTTTGAAGCCTTCTTGACTGAACACTGATTTCAAAAAATCATCAGCGTCAGAATTTCAATATCAAAAGTTTTTGATTGATGGGCATTTTATTTGGTGTTCATTATTTGGTAGTTGTTGAATTGTTGAATCTGTTTTCTTTTTTTCAGGAATGAACAACCAGCCCTCCAATTCGAATAGACATGCGTTCATCGACTACATACCTTCTTCCTTACCAGGCAAGTCCAAGTTTGGTTTTAATAATCACTCATATAAGAAAAAAAGTGAAATTATTTTGAAATTGTCCTAAAACATCTTAGAAAATAGTGTAAACTTGTATTACTTTAATTACTCTGTAGCGGAGACTGGTAAACTGGTTCTGTAATTATGTTAGATTCATCATTACGTATGTGATTTATGTAACATGATCAAGGCCAACGTCGTAGAGAAGGTTGGTATTGCGTATCGCCAGTGGTGAACGTGTCTCATAGAAATCAAAAACGTTATCTTTTTCAATCGTTAACTTAAACACAGCTTATTTCTATACGGAGGATAAAAAAATTCCATATGGCGCAGCCAGCAACCAAATCTAGCTACCGTGGGCTGGATATATTCTGGAATGGCCCTTCTGAGGAACCGCCGGTCCCTTGGGAAGACTGGGCCCAAAAATTCCAGTAAGTGGTCGTTGCCAAAGAGGAGATCGACATTGAGGATTTACTAGACGTCACTGCGGCAACGTATCCGACGTATCCGACATTAGAAGAGCCGGCGGGTACCGAAGAAGACCAGGTGGGGTCGAAAAAAGAGGCTCGCAATGCAGTGGCGATAAGAGTCTGGAGAGAAGAAGAAACTTGGTGATTGAATGAAGAGAAACGGCTGTTCCGCAAAAGCAAGAGAGGAGAGACCGATAAATGACTGAAGTCGAAAATGTTCTCATGGTTGGGGAAGCAGGGGCAACAATAATTCTTTCAAAAAAATCCGAACAGTAAAATTGTCGATATTACTTTCGCCGAGCTATGGAAATTGACAAAGGATGCTTTCTACGTAAGGTATTTTAATCAGTTCGATACAAAAGTGATCCATAAGTTGGAAAGGCAGATAGAAGAGGACAAATTTGGGGTATTTGCCATAAGGACTGTGTAGAATGAGGAAGGAAAAAAGAATTGAAAGCTGTTAAGCGTGCGATTAGGCAAAAACAAATGTGAAACGGAATTTCGGATAGATTGTGCTAGCCCTGTCTTGTTTATTTCTCAGAAGAAGCTTTACGAACTTGAAATTCAGGATCGCTACCTAGCAGTAAAGGGAGTCCAAATTGATTTTCGCAATGTGTTTTATAGCGCAATGGACGACATCATCAAAATCATCAGACAAGTAGTAGTCAGAATTGAATCCGAGGGTTGGTTTTTCGAGGGTGTGGAATTGTTCATTACCTATGGCGGCCAGAGGGACATCCTTGGAAACAATTTACTGCCGTCATTGGGGATTGAAATACGCCAAGAGCGAGTTTCACGGGGTATGAATGATGTTGGCAGAGGCCACAAGACCAGAGTCAAATCGAGACTCGCTCCTTCAACTTAAATACATCAAACGTATTTTGGAAGACTTTGAAAAATTGTTTGATCGGAAGGGTTTGCTTAAAAATTGTGAAACACGAACGCATTTCCTTCAACCGCTGCGGCCTATACAAATGAAGGGCGAGGCGAGTTCCAATACATATCTTACCCAAGGTTTATGAGACAATCGAAAATTTGTTGAAGGATGGACATTTTGTCAGGATGGGAAAATGCACAGAGGACAGATTCATCTTGCCTACGGTCGTTACGGCAAAACAGGATGCCTATCCGAAGTCTATGGACTAGAAGATCACATGTGTGGAGGTCTTGACTGCGTAAAAAGACTGGTGAGACAGCATAAACAACTGATGATATTAGCTACCTAGCATTAAACGCAGTCCAAAATGATTTTCGCAATGTGTTCTATAGCAAAACGGACGACATCAGTTAAGTTAGCCTGAAACTCGAAATTGATAAAAAAACAGATTTAACGAAATCGGTATCAAATGCCAAACTTGAATGAGTTGGTTGATAATGGTGCTTTGGCTATCAGCGATTGCACCAAACTGCTTTTCGATTCTTTTTTGAAATATGCATATTCTTAGATGCAAATAAAAGAAGAAACGAGTCGCCAATGCAACTTTATTACAGTTGGTAGAAGTCTAGCGGGTGCATACCGCTTCAAAACGGAGCTCTAATTTTTTGATGTTATGCCAAACGAGTTTCAGCGTGTGATGGACTCCATGTTGGGGCATTAATCGGGGTGCATGTTTACCTAGATGATAATTTAGCTGCAACAAGAGGGTCTGAACAATACCATTGGCGTGAATTAAACCCGTTCTGAACGTACTGAATAATTTTAACGCTGCAATCAAATGGAGCAAATAGACAATCTTGTAAGGCTAATAGAGTGGCTGGGGTTTCGACTGTCCAATGAATGTACAGTTCCCGTAGAAAGAAAATTCGATTCTACCGTTAATTTGAAAAAATTCAGAAATTTTTGCCATTATCTTGTCATTGATTGGGTCAATCAACCAATTTATTAGATACATTCAAAATCTCGCGGCAACAACGGAGCCGTTTCGCAACTTGATGACAAAATATTCTAGGTTTGAAAGAGTTCTAATCATGAAAAGGCCTTTACCGAAATGAAAAATGAACGGTCGGAAATTTCGTCCAGAAACACATAAGAATGAAATGCGACGCTTCAAAACAACGTTTGGTGGCCGCTTATGAGCAATTTTATACCAACGGCTGTAAACATATCACTTATGATTCTACATTCTTAAACGAAGCCGAGCTAAATCACAGTATTATTGAGTTAGAGTTATTGATTTGTAGCGGTTGTTTGGGCCAGAACTACTTATTTGGGTCTCCGTTCAAGATTTTTACGGCTCATAAGTTGCTTTTATCTTGCTTTTCAGAAGAGAAGAAATCTAAAACAACTCACATGTGGTTAGCTCGTTGGGTCGATCGTTTGTTAACTTTCGAATATGAACTCGAGCTTATCCCTGGAAAAAGATGTGATTCATTGAAAATTTATCCAGGCACCCCTATTGAGACGCTCCACCAGTGTCGGAAGTGGGCAAAACTTTTGTTGTAGCGCAAATTAGGAGTATTAATAGCCTATTTCAACCATCGGTAGCCAGTAACACTGGAACGCGCAACCGAAATAATGACGTAATGTATGAAACTTAACGGAGCGATGATTACGTCATCGAAAGGGATATGCAGCGAAGAAACTCATCGACGCGTTTAAGAAATATCATTCAATCAAAGTTTGAGCTCCAAGCCACTCAAGCACAGAGCAGTGCTCAAATTGTAAGCTATTGAATCCACTACCGATAAAAAGTTTAAATATAGAAAACTCTACCATGGGCTTGTACATTCGAGTAGAAAATCCGCTGGCGGAGTCAACGCCATTCCAGAGTGGAGAACCGAGCAGTTCCACCAATAAGGCGCCTGCCTCAACCACTCAACAGAAAAGTTATAATATTTTTCAGAAAAATCAGGATCGCTTGAAGTTGCAGCCATTCTTTGAAATTTTAAACGAGAGGTTTATACGGGAATCAGGTCATACGGTTACGTTAAAATCTGGAAAAGTGGTACATAGTTCTAAATTTTCTACTAGTTTAGCTGGCTTTGACTCAGAGGTACTAACGACGCTGGGCAAATCTTCGCCGACACGGCCAACAGATCCCCGCAAGAAAGCGGCGTTACAGGCCACATCCGAAATACTCACAGAATCAACACCACGAAGACCGTTGGGCGATGTCACGGGCACCGTGAACAACCCCATATAGATTGATAGTTCATCGTCAGTTTGATGACGACGGATACCCGACGGCTGACAGCAATGCCATCAGAAACAGTCGTGGGCAGCAGAAAACACGAGAGTTACTATCCCGTCGACCCCTCTTATTGTGCCGTTTTCGAGTTTGGAGGAACATAGTATTGTAAGAATGGAGACCGTAACCAGAGGAAAACAGTCAACACCGATCGTGTTATCTTCGACGGACAAGTAGGAGGATGCGCAAAACACGACAACACATGGCTCAAGTGACTTGGGCACACAGCAGGGAGTCGTCCAGGCAAAGAGGAAGGCGATTTGACAACGACCCTGGAGACGATTGAAACAGAGACCGGTGTGGTAGAGCCATACACCGGACAACTCTTTGCCAGAGGGGCCGTGCACGAATAGCCCATTGGTATAGGCTCCTAAACCCTTTACTGCGCCATAATACGAGGCCACCCAGGGATATGCGATCACCGAAATTCTTGGAAGAGCGTTTTTTCATCAGTGCAGTCACAATAAAAACGCAAGAAATAAATGTGGTAACAGCCAAAGATACGTCGGATGAAGACCTTGACGTGCTACCACAGGCAGCTTCAGGCAAGTCGGGGTGGGGGGAGCCCAAATGGGGAGCGGACACCACATAAAAAAGTGCCAATCAGCCCGAAAAAAAAAATCCCAAACCCAAAAAAACGTAGTGCGGAGGATACCTTTTTCAAAAGGTAAATGTGTCGTTTCTATTCGTGCGACGCTTATGTTCAGCACGATTTTACCGGACTAAACGAAAACTTGTCATAGCACTTCGTGGATGTGCTCGACAAAATGCATCGAAGTGTCAAGCACTCAAACGGTTTACCGTCGTTGGTCGACGCCTATGGCATTAATGTGGATGGATTTCGCATGCAAGCATTTCATCAGGGTTTGGAGGCCCGAACTCGAAAAAGCCGGAAGATCCGGCGTTGGTAAAACTGGTCGACGCTGCTCAAGAGGAGATGCAGCGACTGAGGGAGGCTCTGGATAAAGCGGGTCACGCACTATTAGATAAATAGCAGCCGAATCAGGAAATGCAGTGGTTGCATCGCGCCGAATTAGCAGTAACGACACTATTAGTCCTTTGACTGCTAGTATTGTAGTAGATAAGCAGGGACATCAATCGTCACTTCTTTCGCCGTTAGAGGACCCCAAAACAACCTCGGGCCCAGTAGTTGAACACGGGAAATTGACGGTAATGGGTCAACTAGCAGTACAGCCGGCGATCAGTATGAACAATTCAACATCATGCAATTTGGTCGTCGATCAAATCGAAAATTGGGACACTGAACAGATGGTTTCGGAACAAGCCGATATAGTGCAGACTCTAGCGGCGCAATGGTCACCGATGACTTGGACAAAG